TCGCCGCGATCGAAGGATGCATCGTCACCCGCCTCGTGCTGGAATGCTTTAGATGCCTTCTCTATGTTCTCCCGTATGCGCTCGGAGTTCCCACCGAACGGGTTGCACAGACAGCGATTAGCAGCCCTGCATAGATAAGTCGCCAGTGGGGGAGGCGTTGCTCCTGCAACCTCTGGCACGACGCTGTCCTGCACCACCCTGCACGATGCGTCGTGCGTAGCGTCGATAAGGCCAAGCGTAAGAGACACGTCATGGTTGCCGCCGCGTGCTCTCAAAGAGGCAATCTGCCCCGCCATCATCCTACACTGCGGGAACCTCGCAGACATCATGTACAAGCGTCGCCCAAGCATGGCGTTCCAATCTTCAGCGCCCCCACCATCGTGATCACGGCGGAGGTGGTGAGGATATATGCCTTCGAGTGCCGCCAGGGGGCCAGTCGGCGAGGTCTCCCGCGAAGCATTTCTCGGCGGCATCGGCCTCGGATGATGCCGGCGCGGAAGCTCGACACCTCCGAAGCGCCTGCCGTGCTTCTCGACCTCTCGCGACGAGCTGATCTGGGCCGAGGAGTGCCAGCTGCATATCCGACGACTGGCGAGCCTCAAGCGCGGGGGCGGCGCGCGGCCGCGCACCGCCGCCACCGCCGAGTGGCCCCATGTTCCCTGCGTCCCGTGCATCGTTGGCTTTCACTGCCAACTCCTTGTATTTCTGGAGGCCCTCTTCATCGAGCTCCGCGTACCTCCCGGACAACTCCCATGACTGACGGGCGAGCCGCCCCCTGCAGCCCCGCCGTCTGTTCGCCGCGAAAGGCATCCCAGGACGATAGCTTGCGAGACTTCGGCGTCGGCTCGCCCTGGCCCTGGTGGCCCTGGTCGTCGTCGCCGCCCCCGCTGGCGGCGCGTCAACGCTCGGCTCTGGCAGTCGATTTATGTCCCCACCAGCCCCTGGCCGCAGCCTCCAACTGCTCATTGATCCAATATGTGTTCAGGCCATACATATCAACAACTCGTCGTTGCACGGACCTCCCCACCTGGAAACGCCTGTTTCTTTTCTGATGGCGGTATTCGATTTGAACTGTCTCGTCTGCCATGAGAAGCGCAGTGCTCCTCAGGTCGGCCTGGGCACTGGGCGAAAGCAACTGCTTATCGTGGAAAATAACAAACTGCATAGACCATGCATCCATCCCTTTACCGCACTCGGCATCTCTCACCACCTCTGTTGCGAGCTCAGGGTTGCTGATGATCCCGAACGTCTTGTACGGATAATTGCAATGATCGGTGCGCAGCTCGCGCATGATGCAGAGGCCGCGCGACAGCATCATAAACACCTTGGCCTGCCACTCCTTAGTCATGTGCGTTGCTGGAATAGTTTGCCACGCATCTGAATCTGACATCAGCCTCCACGTCTCGTCGATGAACGTACTCTCCACGACGCCGTCGCACGCCAAAGGTAGCCGAAGGTCCCGCTTCGGAAAGGCGCCCAAGTCGACGCCGCTTGTTGAACCCTCCTGGCGAGCAGCGTTGGACTCGATATCCCTTTGCTTCTTCCCCCATCTATCTCCAGCAATGTACAACAGTTTCTCCATGACGTTGATGTGCGGGACAAGGGTTATGAACAAGGTAGCGCTATCGGCAAGCACGCTGCCAGAATCAATCCATTCGCAGACTGACCGTCGAAATCTGTGTTGCTCTCTCCTTTTTCCTCTCCGGAGTAGACGTCGTCCTTTTTTCTCCTCATGGTCTGGCATCTTGACGTCGGGCTCAATGCCGCCGTCGATGCCCTCGGCTCTCTCACAATCACCCTCCTCTCCAGGGGCGTCCTCGAGAGGTAATGGCAATGGCCGATCGCCATCGTCGGCGGCGTCGCCCACGGCAGGCGGCCCGCGGCAAGCGCGCCTGGGAATGCTGCAAAGCGTTTCCGCATAATCCCGATACGCGGTGGAGAACACGCCAAAAACCAATTCCATGATGCAGGTCCATTGGGCGGCAGCTTCGCAATGAGTCCAGCTGCGGCTGGGAAATGATCCAGGGCCGTTCCAGACTAATGCTCGGGTCCCTCTGGTAACAGGCTGCTTGGTGATGGCATCGTCGCTCTCGCCCCCAGTCGAGTGCACGATTACCTGCCCTTTGCAATATTCCCATGGCCCGTTGAACAGCGCAAGCAACTCGCTCCTGCGCACAGCATTCTCTGGCGCATCGGGTAATACACTGTTCAACGCTCGAACGTTCCACAGAGACTCGCGAAGGCTCAAGTCGTGCCTCGCGATGGTCGCCTCGCAGAGCGCGCGACGAACCGCACCGCGAAATATCTTCAAGCGGTTCTGAAGCGATAGCGACAAGGACACGTGCTTCAGTTTGGACACGACTGGCTTCATCAGGCCGCATACATCTCCCCTCGCATTACAGCACTTGTGCACGAAACACTGCGTGCGAAGAGCAGCAGCGGCAGCCTCCTTTTCTCGTGTAAGTGCTCGTGCTCGCTCAGCCCGTTCGATAGCCTGGCCCCCGTCGCTGGCCACGCACCGCTGCTGCCGCTTGAACTTCGGGCCAACGTCATCCAAATTCAACAGCTGCTGCAACAAGTCTGAACACACTTAGAATTTCGATGTTGTCGTTCGGGCCATGCACAGAAGGGGCAAGGGCGGCATCCATGTGAATAAGACCCATGTCAAATGCATGCGAACCAATGCCCCGACCACGACCTCGGACTGCAATAACTTAGCAACACCAGTGTCCCGTTCGCCAACCGTGTTAGTAGCATCATTGGGCACCTGCTCGAGCCTCTCCAAGACCTCGTCGGGCAGACCGTACAACAGATCCTGGCCGATGAGCGTCATTTCCATTGGGGTTTCGTCGTACCGCCAGCACGTAGATAGAGTATGCAGTATCCCGTCGGCAGCTGCCACTACAGTCTCACATAGCTTAGTGATGTTATCCCGCATCTGCCAATACAACAGCAACAACGAGATGCATGCCAATCGGGAGGCTGTGGAAAGCAATACTCGTCTGGAGACACCCAACCGCTTAACATGATCAGTGTACGTGTTGACTCTCAGCCATGCGCACCGCCTGGACACGATATCATCCACGACCTTGCCGAAATTCATATCTTTGGGTATGCGGTCCAGGCCCCCACTCGCCATGAGTTTCACGATGCTGGCGAATACCTTGGGCGTCCCACTGGGAACCCGATGGCTATCTGGCAGCGGCCGACTGGGCTGGTCTGCACTCCCTGGAGCAAGCTCATCGGGGGGTGGGGGTGGGTGGGCGCCGCTTTCACTCAAATCCGCAATTTCTGGCAGCAGGCAGCGTGACTGGCCCGACGCACTTTCCACGAGACGTTTTGATTGTTCTGCGATCTCCTTCAACATTTCCCTGGCAACCCTGACGGACACGACGGCTGGAGCAGGAAGCGCACTTTCCGACGCTGCTGGACGGGCTGCTTCCAAGACGGGCTGGGCAATTGATACTGCGTTCTCACATGAACGCGGCTCCGCATCTGGTTCTGGTGGCTCCTCCCCCCCGTCTGGCCGTCCGCCACTCTCACTGGCGGGAGACACCCGTCCAATCAATAATTCATCAACTTCCTGCTCAGGACCAGCTGCTGCAACAGATTGCCCGAAATCCTCGACGAGCTCACTGTTGACGTCCATGTGTTCGAACAAGCCGTCGCAGCTGGAAGAACCGTCTGAAGCCAACCAATCATCTAATCGAATTCTGGGATCGACCATGCTGCCAGGAAAATATGTTGAGCCAAAACGGTTACGGATTGATTGGGCCCCCTTGTATATTTTCGGTTTCGTTTGTCACTGTGGCTATACACCCTACCGTCCCGCGTCCACTCCTCACAAGTACATACAACCGTTCCTCTTCACACCTGGATGAGCACGCAAGCATTCCTCATAAGGCCAGACAAGCAATCCTCATAAGTCAATCTTCCCGTAGCATACGGCCATACAATCATTCCTCATTCAGGTCATACAAGCATTCCATACACGCGCGTGCCTCCGATGCGGGCTTATCGGTGCTGCTGCCCCCCCTCGCTCGTGAACAATAAAGGGTCAAACTGTGGGCCCGTCCGAGCCCCCCCTGATGCTGTCCTTCACGAGGCCGCTTCCCAATCCTCCCAAACAATGCCCTTCACGAGGCCCCCCCCCCTACTCCGATGGGCAGCGTCCCCCCACTAGACTGACCGTTGATGTTATCGATTTTTCGTCCTCATTCCTAAGTGTTTAAAAAGTGTTTGAAAAGTGTTTTCCAGAAAAACTGTATCTTATCTGTTCCTACGCAAACGAACTTCTCAACGCAGAGGCCCTCGGGGGCTGAGTGCTGCACGGGAAACAGATCGTGGCCATGGCTCGCCAAGTGTGTCACAAAAGGCGGCAGGAGGGTATTCCCCCTGAGCATAGCGACGCTGCGGATCCGTGCAGCTCTATAAGGACTGGACGGGATGAGGAGGACCATGCTTTAGGTGGTCTTTTCTCCTCTCCTTATTGTCAGCATATCACCAACCTGGCAGCCGAGCCCCCAGAAGGGGCAACATTTCAAAACCATGACTCCGTGACTCCCCAGAATGGGCAGCATTCAAACATTATGCACCAAGTCTGCCGCAAAGAGCAGGTACGGGCATGTGCGCAGGCTCCTGGGCGCAGCCGTACGTCAGCCAAGCACGTGACACAAGTGAAACAATACTTGTCGTGTTTTATTTGTTTTTCTCCATGCGAGGGGGTACCAGGTGCTGGCCGCCCTGTACACGCTCGTGCGTCGTGCTCTCAGCATTGACAGCTGTCGGCTCATAGAGCCCATGCCGCTGAGGAACAACCAAATCTTGTCTCACGCTGGAGAGACCTAGGAAAAATACGGAATGACTATGCGATGGGACTGCCTGCAATCATCCAACGCGCCATCTAGGGCGCGCGTGGTCTAGCGAACTCGCTTTGACTCCACCCCCCCCTTTCCCCTATGGGGGGAGTCCCCCAACTCCTACCCCGCCCCCGTACGTCAGCCAAGAAGGTGAGACAAGTGAAACAATACATGTCGTGAAGGGGCAAATGGATCAAAACACCCGTTTGTTCTGTTGCCGGCCTCTTGGCCCCTGGTTCTCTCCTGCACCGGGGGCAACCCCAGCAAGACCTCCCTCAGTATCACCTTCAAGCGTAACACCGGGGTCACGAACATGTGCCCCCCGAGAATCCCTGACAAGGGAGGCCACGGTCCGCACATGCTCGCACAGGCCGCTGATCCACAGAAAACCGAATTGTATCGACCCCAGCCCCGCCAAGAGCGTTCCTGGGGTGGGCTGGCTGGCTGGCTCCAGGCGCAAAGGGGGCCTGGTGGTTTTTGTGCGTGTTGTTTTTAATAAGAAAACCTATGCGAGTCTCTCTCTACGACTCCTTCTCTCTCTCTCTCTCTCTCTCATTATTTTTCTCGATGTGTTTCCGTTTCTCTCTCTCTCTCTCTCTCTCTCTCTCTCTCTCTCTCCCTGTCTCTCTACATGTTTCCATTGTCCTGCGTCAAACCTGCGCCGATCCTTCTCCCACCTAGCCGAGAGCATTTGAAACCTTCACAACAGGAACCCTTTGGAAAGCACCACAAAGGGATTCCATGTGAAAGCCTCTCAACAGGAACCCTTTGAAAGGCACCACAAAGGAGTTCCATTGGAAAGCCTCTCAACAGGTCTTCATTTGGGAAGCGCTACAAAAGGATTCCATTTGAAAGCATCTCAACAGGATTCCTTTGGAAAGCACCACAGAGGGATTCTATTGGAACGCCTCACAATCGGAATCTTTTGGAAAGCGCCACAGAAGGATTCTATTGGAAAGCCTCTCAGCAGGATTCGTTTGGAAAGCCCCACAATGGTACCATTGGAAAGCCTCTCAACAGGATTCCTTTGGCAAGCCCAACAGAGGTACTCTATGGGAAAGCCTCACAATCGGATTACATTGGAAAGCTTCACAATATGATTCCTTTGGGAAGCACCCCGAAGGGAGTCTGTTGGAAGGCCTCACAACAGGAACCCTTTGGAAAGCACCCCAAAGGGATTCTAGTGGAAAGCCTGACAGCAAGAACCCTTCGGAAAATGCTACAAAGGGCTTCAATTGGAAAGCGTCACAAAGGAAATCCTTTGGAAAACTACACAAAAGGGATTCCATGGGAAAGCCTCACAATTGGAATCTTTTGAAAAGCGCAACAAAGGGATTCCATTTGAAAGCCTCACATCAGGAACCCTTTGAAAAGCACCACAAAGGAGTTCCATTGGACAGCCTCTCAACAGGATTCCTTTGGGAAACAAAAAAAAATGAAATAAAAAAATAAAAGAAGCGCACAACAGATTGTTTCCTATAGGAAAGCCTCACATTCGGACTCACACTACAGAAATCGCAAGGCACGCAAGAGAATAGACACAAAACACACAACAGATATAAACACCTCCAAGACAAAATCCATAAACACAATACGAACACAAAACAAAAAGCAGAGAGGAGAACATCATAAGGAACAAAGCACAGAAGGAATACAAGACAACAAAGAAACACAAACATAGTAACAACCCAATAAACACACATAAAAACCAGCCAGACATAACAAACATGCAAGAGCAACAAAACACAAAAGAATTAAACACACAAAGCCAGGAAAGCACACAGTAGGAAGAAAAGATAACGAACAAACAAAAAGCACAACAAACGCAAGAAAACACACAACCAAGATTAACCCACCAATAAAAATCAACAAACAGAAATAAATAACCATTGTTTTGCAACACAAAAATCGAGCGAAAAATTTCTACTGGAACGCCTCACAATCGGAATCCTTTGGAAAGCACAACAAAGGTGTTCCATTGGAAAGCCTCCCAACATGGTTTCTTTGGAAAGCGCAACAGAGGGATTCTATTGGAAAGCCGCAATCCAAACTGCTACCGTTGGGAGGATGGCGCTGGAACACAAATCCTCACAACAGGAACCCATTGGAAACCATCACAACAGGAACCCTTTGGAAATCCTCACAACAGGAACCCTTTGGAAATCATCACAAAGGGATTCCATTGGAAAGCCTCCCAACAGGATTCCATTGGAAAGCACAACAGAGGGATCCAATTGGAAAGCCTCACACCAGGATTCCTTTGGAAAGCACCCCAAAGGGATTCTCATGGAAGGCCTCTCAACAGGATTCCGTGGGAATGCATCACAGAGGGAGGGTTCAGCGCCGCAGGTACGAACCCCTCCCGCGACCTCCTCCCTGCGACTCCTCTCCATCCTCTTCCTCCTCCCCCTCCTCCCCCATCCCCCCCTTCTGAAGGACTGCAACAACTTTGGGAAAACCATTGGAAAAAACCAAAGAAACCTAAGTGCTGGAAACGAAAACTTTAGGAAACCCATTGGAAAAACCAAAAAAACAAAAAAAAACAAAGATTCCACAGAGAGTGCGGGGATTCCCTTTGGACGTGTCCCTTCGGACGGGTGTTCCCCGCACTCTCTGTGGAATCTTTGTTTTTTTTGTTTTTTCCAATGGGTTTCCTAAACTTTCCGTCTCCACCACTTAGGTTTCTTTGGTTTTTTTGGTTTTTCCAGAATGGTTTTCCCAAAGTTCTGGCATTCCTTCAGAAAAGGGGGAGAGGGGGAGGAGGCGGAGGGGGACGAGGAGGAGGAGGAGGAGGAGGAAGAGGAGGATGATCGGGAACAGGATGAGGAGGAAGACGGAGAAGGATGAGGAGGAAGAGGAATGCGCTACGAACGAAAACACACAGAAGAGAGAGCGAGAGAGAGAGAGAGACGCATGAAACCCTCGGAGGGCCGAAAGCCCGCCGAATCATCCAGTCTGGAGCTGAAAAAGATCACGCTTAAAAACCACCAGGCCCCCTTTGCGCCTGAAGCCGGGCTGGCATCCCCCGAATCGCGCGGCCCTGACGATCGGACCCATAGATCCGAGGACCCCAAGATGTGTCAGGCGAAACGGGTCAGAGTGTCCCAAGTCAGGGCATTTCGGAGCCCGGGGTTCCGAGGATGTCTCAGGCGAAACGGGCCTGAGCACCTCGAGAACCGCATCTTGGAACCAAGAGCTGGGATGATGTCTCAAGCGGAATGAATGGGCTAGAGCACCTGACAGAAGTCAGGGCATCTCGAAGGGATTCCGAAGATGCCTCCATCGTGAAACGCAGAGTCGTGAGGGCATCTCAGGCTAAACTGGCCAGAGCACCTCACGTCAGGGCATCTCGAAAGGGTTCCGAGGCAGTCCGAGGATGTCTCAGGCGACACAGGCATGAGCACCTCAACAATGACATCTTGAAAGACAGAGTTGTGAAGATGTCTCAGGTGAAACGGGCCAGAACATCTCAAGTCAAGGCATCCTGGAACCCAAGGTTCCGAGGATGTCTGAGGTGAAACGGGCCAGAGCCTCTGTGGGGCATGCACCGAGCTCTTTTGAAGGCAATCCCTCCCTGGCACGTCCCTGGCACCGCCGTGGGGTCTGCCGGGGTCGCCCGGGGCTGCCCCTGGCGACCCAGGCACCCGGGCTCAGGTGCCCTGCCCCCCCCCCCGCCAGCCAAGGAAAGCCCTGGAGGGGTCCAGAACAGCCTCAAAGAACGCAAAGTGGGCAGCGAGGACCATGTAATTCTGATAACACACACGCCCACCTCCCAAACCGGCCATTCGAGACATCCCCGCACTTTGGGCGCGAACAGGCCTGTGAACACACTTCGCCGGCAGAACACCAGCCGGTATCACAAGTCACGATCGAGCCGAGTCTAGTCTAGCCTTGGCGACGAGGATTGCATGGAAAGCATCGACAACACAAGTACTTGTCTGACTGCGAGCACTATGATTTATCCTCCTATTCCTCCTCCTCCTCATCATCATCATTCTCCTACGTTCCTCCTCCTCCCCCTCATTCCCCCTTCTCCTCCTCCTCTTCCTCCTCCTCTTCGCACTCCTCCTCAGCAGTTGATCAGAATTGCGAGGACTTGGAACGCTGTCTTAAGCGAAACGGGCCTGCTCAGCTTGAAGTTTCGAGGGTGTCTCGACGCGCGGGACCTTCGAACAACACTCGATCTTACCACAACCATGCCCCCCTGCACCGGCCGGGCAACCCGGGAACACTCCACAACTTAACCTTTGTATGACGGCAACCAACGAGAACCTCCCATTTAGTGAGCACCCACAACTATGGGTTTCGGAACCGAGGCACATTTCGCGCAGTGCAGCAGACTATTCTAACAAAGACGTATTGAATTTGCCTGCTGGTAGGGGCCCACACGTTGCTGATACACACAACACGCTTCCTCAGTCCTTGAGACCGAACAGCGTGCTCTCGACCTTATCGAACGCCGCCTCGCCGTCGAGGCTGTTGAGATTGACGTCGAAGCCTTCGTCAAGCTCCACCATCAGAGGGAGCCACCGAAACATCAAACTCATCTGCACGATGACAGAAGCAGAAATAACGGCACGAGCATCAACTTTCGGAGGTCCGCAGGTACTTCTTGGATCGGCGCTGGACTCCCCTCCGTGGCGCGCGGACCGCGCCAGGGGCGGCGCCGGAGGCGCCGCTAAAGGGGCCAACGACGAACCAAAAAATCCGCGTGGCCCCTCGAAAAGTTGTGCTTGTGCTTGTGCCGGGTTTTCTTCTTCGGGATGAGCTCCTCTTCCGTCGGATCGCCCAGCATCCTGAAGGTCTTCGTCCTGACCTTGACCTGGTAGCCGCCGACGGTTCCCTCCCACGACATTCGCCTCCCACTGCCCCTGCTCTCAAGGCTCTTCACGCTCGACACAGACAGCGACGACCGCGTGGACCCCTTCGAGCCTTCGCACGCCCTCGCCGTCGCCTGCAGACTGCCCAGGCAGATCTCCTGGAGGAAGAAACCCTGCAAAAACCAACACACCTTCGGAGGTCCGCAGGGACCTTCGAACATGTATGTCTATGCGGTCTTTCTTTCTTCCGTTTTCCTCGTTAGCCAGGCCCTGGACTGCAGCATACTGCATCGTCGCGGCCATCGTGCCGTACCGCTCAAAGTGTGAGCCCTCCACGGATAGGATGTTCTTCCAGGACTGCCCCTCGTACTGGGAATAAAAGTCGCTCAGAACCTTGGAGATGGCCCTGCCCTGCGTTTCAGACTGGATCGATGATGGCAAACACGACCGCCCTGGAATCTCAAACAAATCTTCCAGCGAATCTCCGATCTCCATCAAATCTCCCCGCAAATTTCAAACAAATCGTGGCACCGTAAAAACCTTCTGGCGAATCCCCAAATAACCTCGCGCCTTAAGATCTTCCAACGAATCTCCAAACAATCTTGGCGCCGTAGACATCCCCAACGAAATCTTCGCCAGACATTTTTCCGTACAACTTCAATCGATGTTCTGGAGATTTATGTACGCCTAAGATTTGCCATGGATTTGCCGGAGTTCTTCCCGAGATTTCTGCACGCCGGAGACTTTCCGGAGAATTCCCTGGAGAATTTCAGGAGATTCCAGCCCCGCGGGGATTTTCATATAATTTCCCAGGGATTTGTAGCCCTCAGATTTTCGAGAGATTTCCTTGGATATTTCAGATCTCAGAGATTTTCCGGAGACTGTGGGAATGCCCACATACAACTCGGAGATCCCCCAACAGAATTGCTTGATATTGTTTCACCTAGATTGCCCTGGTCGCGTGTGCCATATTGACCCGATCTAACCTTCGTCTCGGCCCAGAACGTCTCGAATTGATCCTCGGCCATCGAAGTCACCTTGTTGTGCTCAATCTGCTCGCTATCCCGCGCGTACACAATCTGGATACCGAGCTTCTTGATGAGCTCGCCCATCCCAGGGTAGAAATTCCTGCAGGAATCGGTGACCCACGGACTCCTGGCCAAAGTCACAATGACGACCTTCCCGCGCTCGTCCGCCAACCGGAGGAGCCGTCCGGCGGCGCACGCGGCTCTCGCTAGAGCGGTCCGGACACGTACCATCTTCCCGGGACTGAGCGCCTGGTCCTTCAGACTATGATTGATGGAGAGGCCCAGATCGTGCTTGACGTATGTGGTTGGGAACAGCGTGTCGTCCCAATCGAATATGATTGCCGTCTGCGTCTTCTCCACGTACTGCGTGTACGAGATCTTCCGGCCAAACGGCGAGATGTGTCGAGTAAACGGCTCGACTGGTGTTTCCGTCTGGTGTCCTCTCTTAGCGCGGCCCCCGAGCAGAGTCCTCATTGCCTCCATGGCGGAGTGAACCATGCCCACGTTCGCCAATCCGTCGTCCCCTCCAAGCGACCCCGGGATGGCGCCGCACGGCTTGCAGAGCACGCCCTTTCTGCCGATGCTGCAGTTGTTGACCTGCCCAGACTCGTACCAATAAACCGTGCAATCCCCTGCGACTACATCGATGGCAAATATTATCCCAGGTTTGCCCACGCCGCCGTCCACGTCCCCCTCTGACCACTCCTTGGGGTTACGAACGACCAACATGTTGACCCGTGCACTCTTTGTGGTCACGACCATGCCCGGCTTCAACGTCGGCAAAGTCTCCCGTACGGACTTCATGTGATTCATTATCATTTGTGCCGCGGGTCTCCGGCTCCCCGTGCTGTCCTTGCTGCCGGTGCTAGGATGTCGGGCCAAAGCTCTGGGTATAACTCATGTCTCGCTAGCCGCGCTCTTCCGCTCATCGTGCTGGCAATGGCCGTCAGAGGATACGCCAGATTCTGCCGGGCAAGTCGACAGCGTTTCCTGTGATCCATTCTGGCTTTCCTCTGTCGGATGTATGCGCCGCTTCTCTTTTGACCAGATGCGTGGTCCTCGCAGATTGCTGAACGACTTCATCGCAACCTGGCCAGGTTCGCGGTGGCAGTCGCGAAGGCGCAGCGGCAAAACTGTCCACGCCCTGCTCCTGAGAAGGTGGGAACAGGCCCTGATAGAACCAACACCTGAGCTCAAACGACCTTGAGCTTGTAAATTCCTTGAGCCAAAATGGCTACGGAGGGCCTCTCTTGGGGCCCTCTCGGGCCGTCTTTGGCGCCTCAGGCACCGCCTTGGGGCCCTCGTGGGCCGCCCAGGGTCCTCTTGGAAGCCTCTTCGGCTATCTTGGAGCTGTCTGGGAGGCCTCTTCCTCCTCCTCGTCCCCCTCCTCCTCCTCCCACTCCAGCTCTCTCTCCTCCTGATCTTCCTCCTCCTCCTGCAGCGTGTTCCGGAAGGCTCCCGCCAGAACATGCTGTGCACAAGTGCTGTCACTGCTCCCGCCACCGTGCCCTGGGTGGTGGGTCAGAGGCCTCATGGGTGTTGGCTTGGATCTCGTGGTTGGCCTGTCGGAGACGTCGAGAAGGCAATTTCGCAGCTTCTCGGTAGCCGTTTTGGGACCGTTGTGGGGCCTCCTCGGGGCTGTTTTGTGGCCTCTTTAGGCCTCGTTTGGGCCTCCTGGGTGCCTCTTGGGGGCCTCCTGGGGCCTCTTGGGGGCTGCTTGGGGCCTCCTGGGGCACTCTTCAAGCGGGAGGGTCGAACTTTGGAGCCGTGGTCCCCCTCTTGGGCGCATCTTGGGGCCGTCTTGGGGCTCTGTTGGGCTGTCTTGGGCGACTCTGGGGCCGTCTTGGGGCCCTCTTGGGCCGTCTTGGGGCGCTCTTGGGGGCCTATTGAGCCATCTTGGAACGTCGGACAGCCGAAAAGGCTGGAAGGCCAAAATCGTTCGAAAACCTTAGTAAAATTGACGATCTCGGCCTCTTGAAACGCTCTGGAGAGGCGTCTTGAAGCGTCGTGGAGTGCCTTGGGGGGCCTCTCGGGCCGTCTTGGGCCTATCTTGGGCGTCCTGGAGCGGTCTTTCGGCGACTCGGGGCCCGCTTGAGCCGTCTTGGGAGCCTCTGGAGACCCTCCTGGACTATTTTGGATCTCCCCGGCCGCCCCGTCCTCCCATGGGGGGTCGGAGGCGGCGGCCTCCGAGGCCCAGGACGCGGAAACCCTTTAACATGATGGACCCACGAACCCGGAAAGGGATATAGACATGTGGAGCATGGACACGTTTTCATGATACCCAACTGGGCAACACCTCACGAAACATCCCACGAGACACCTCACGAAACAGCCCACGAGACACCTCACGAAACATTCCACGAGACACCTCACGAAACATTACACGAGACACCCCGCGAAACATTCCACGAGACACCCCACGAAACATTCCACGACGACAGGCACCCACTCAACCAAGGCGGTGTGGTCGTGCTGGGGAGTGGTCGTGCTGGGGTGTGGTCGTGCTGGGGGGTGGTCGTGCTGGGGGGTGGTCGTGCTGGGGGGGTGTTCGTGCTGGGGCGTGGTCGTGCTGGGGCGTGGTCGTGCTGGGGCGTGGTCGTGCTGGGGCGTGGTCGTGCTGGGGCGTGGTCGTGCTGGGGTGTGGTCGTGCTGTGGAAAGGTCGTGCTGGGGTGCGGTCGTGCTGGGGTGTGGTCTTGCTGGGGTGGGGTCGTGCTGGGGTGTGATCGTGCTGGGGTGGGGTCGTGCTGGGGTGTGGTCGTGCTGGGGTGTGTTCGTGCTAGGGTGGGGTCGTGCTGGGGTGGGGTCGTGCTGGGGAGTGGTCGTGCTGGGGTGTGGTCGTGCTGGGGTGTGGTCATGCTGGGGCGTGGTCGTGCTGGGGTGGGGTCGTGCTGGGGTGGGGTCGTGCTGGGGTGGGTTCGTGCTGGGGTGCTCCGCACCCTGTGATTTATCGATCGGGTCGTGCTGGGGTGTGGTCGTGCTGGGGTGTGGTCTTGCTGGGGTAGGGTCGTGCTGGGGTCGGGTCGTGCTGGGGTGTGGTCGTGCTGGGGAGTGGTCGTGCTGGGGTGTGGTCGTGCTGGGGGTTGGTCGTGCTGGGGTGTGGTCGTGCTGGGGGGGTGGTCGTGCTGGGGGGTGGTTGTGCTGGGGCGTGGTCGTGCTGGGGCGTGGTCGTGCTGGGGCGTGGTCGTGCTGGGGTGTGGTCGTGCTGTGGTGTGGTCGTGCTGGGGTGTGGTCGTGCTGGGGTGTGGTCTTGCTGGGGTAGGGTCGTGCTGGGGTCTGGTCGTGCTGGGGTGTGGTCGTGCTGGGGTATGGTCGTGCTGGGGTGGGGTTCCGTTGCATGGGGTGGGTCGTGCTGGGTCTGGTCGGCTGGGGTGTGGTCGTGCTGGGTTGGTCGTGCTGGGGGGTGGGGTCGTGCCATTTCGCTCGAGACATCCTGCCAAATTCCAGGAAATCGGTACATAAAAACAAGAATAGTCGGACACTCATCGAAATTCCTTCGCGCGGGTTCGCTTTTCGCGTCGCGGCGGTCGGCTCTGCCAAACCAGCGTTTCGCTCGAGAACATCCTCGGCAAACTCTGCTAGCAAGCGTTTCGCTCCGAGACATCCTCACACCGAATAAGTGGCCCCCGCACCCTGTGATTACTCGATCGGGATTTCAAAAACAAGCGTTTCGCTCGAGAAATCCTCAAATTTTAATTCGCCGGCCTCCTTCGACCTCGTTATTTATCAGGGAAAAAATTCGCCGGCCTCCCTCAAGTTGGCACCGGGGGACAGGTTTACCTACTAAAAGAGAACCCTGGGCCCACGCCCTTTCCGGGAAAAACACTAGGAAAATGAACGCCAGTTACCCCCATGGAGGCTCTTCGTCGGCGCTCTTGGACCGTTGGAAGCTCGAAAACGCGAGAAGCCAACATGATGGACCCACGAACCCGGAAAGGGATATAGACATGTGGAGCATGGACACGTTTTCACCACTTTGATATTTATCACGGAACAAGTCGCTTTTGAAAACTCATACTCTCGTGGGGCAGCGGCTGAGGAAACCTGAACGGCCTGAGAAAAGGAATTCCCCGTCGTGCCAGGCCATGCATATATTCTCTTGGAGAGATACTGCACTCATGCGCCGCAGCTCTTTCTTGAACTGCTTTGTATGCCAATTGCACACCAACCTCTTCGGCAGCTTCGCATTGATGCGTTTCAACGTATGCCGCACGCGATTCTCATTGGCCACGTGCCGTTTCGTGTGGTCTTTCTCCTCACCATACCAGCAAAAGAACAATTTATTTGCATTGGGGCCTGCAATGACGAGAGCCTGCCACTGCTCAGACCACGCGAATAACTGAGACGGCATTTGCATGTCCGCACAACCCAGCGGCGCTAACATATTTTTGATTATAAATCGAGTCGAATCTTCTCCTCCGAAATCACGTAGAGATAACATGTGCTGAAAAGCCTCGTCCACGCTACTGGCTTTGGCAATGCCAACCAATGCTTTCAATTTATCCCCTTCGAATGTATTGAGCACTGCCGCCGCGCACGTGGCATTCTGTCCTGGGCCAACGCTTACAAAATACCTTGAATCGGACGTCTTCCCGTCACCACATGGCCCCTTATGGTTTTGGATAAACGAAAAGACATCATCCATCTCTGTCAAGCGCGGGGCTTCGCTCTCCAAGAAAAAGGTTGCAACCGAGCGGCTTCTGCCCGACCACACCAAGAATGTTGTGCGAATCGCGCCCATCTTGTCCTTGAGAGTCCGCGCGCCGGCACTCAAGCGATCATACAACGGTAAAAACCCTTGAATGTCATCTTCCAGATGAACGTTGTGGCGCTGGCTGTGGATAAAGTCAGATGCCAATGAGCACTCTGGAACACCCGGCGTCATCAATTCGCGCACCCGGTTCCTCCTTAGCATCATGCGATGAAACTTGGAGGTGCTGATGTCACCGCCGTCGACCGTGGTCTCTAAGACAAAATCTTTAAATTCTTGCAACAGCGTTTCACTGTGCTCACCATCTTCGCCCTTGTGTACTTTGAAAGCTGCCCTTAGCTCACGGCCCATGATGTAAACCAAAAGAATGTCATCCATCAAGCCTTCCCAATCATCACGCCGCTCTCCTGGGTTATCGAACAGGGCTTGGTACGAGCCTCTAGAAATCGCGCCCATTTTGCTCCTTTTGAGAACGTTAGCTGCATGTGCCCATTTGACTTTCCCCGGGTTGTTCAATGCAGCCTTGCTGACCTCGTCGAGCCAAGGGCGACGCCCCGTCTTGTTGATTGCTTGCGGCGCTAGCGTGACACTCACAAGCTGGTAAACATCTGCTGGGAGATGCGCAGAGAAAAAGTGAAGTACGTGCGCTTGCTTTGCTAAAGACTTCCACGTGACATGCACCCTCGATTTTTCTAACCAGGACGTCTTGATCGCGCACTGGCGCGCTTCTGACCGAGCACGAATGCAGCCATGAACTGTCTGCGCTCGCCTGATAGATCCACAATCAATTATCCAATGAAATCCAGAGGGCGCCGCCATGCACGTAGAATAGCAAAATAACAAGTCCTCGAAGTCGGACGCCGCAGGGCGCTTCCGCGCCAGCATGGCGCCCGGCGAAGCCGCCCGGCTGACCCTGGGGGTGCAATCGCCAGACGGCCCCGGGGCCGCGCGGCTGACCCTGGGAGTGCACGCGCCACGCGGCCCCTCCGCGGGCAAGCGCGCACCGGCCGCAAGGCCTCTCCAACAACAGTTCGTCGCAAATGCACAAAGATATTTGAGCCAAGAGCCAAAATGGCTACGACATGTTCAATACAATATTAAGAGAGGGTGGACATGGGCTGACCCTGAGGGCGCACTGCCCGGCGGAGAGGAGGAGAAGCGAACGGGGGGGCCGGCTGACCCTGAGGGTGCAATGCCGGGGCAGGAAAAGACCGAGGACGAGGGCTGACCCGGAGGGTGCAATGCCCGGCGGCGAGCAGGAAAGGATAACGGTGAGACCGGCTGACCCTGAGGGTGCAATGCCGGGGAAGGAAACGCGCGGGGGCGGGGGCTGACCCTGGGAGTGCACTGCCCAGCGGAACGGAGGAGAGGCGAACGGGAGTACGGCTGACCCGGAGGATGCAATGCCGGCGCAGGAAGACAGCGAGGACAGGGGCTGACCCCGAGGGTGCAATGCCCGGCGGAGAGGAGGAGGCCGACCCGGGGGCAGGAATCCTAGGGCGGTGCGGGAAAACGACAGGGCTGCTGGCCTACTCAGAAACCCAGGGCGCGGAGCAAAGAGGCAAGCTCGGATCTGCCGCAAGCGCCTGCACAGCGCCCTCCTTGGACAATTTCTGGCGCTCCAAGACAGCCCAAGAGGCCCCCAAGATCGCCCCAAGACGACCCAAGACGGCCCCACGACGACCCAAGAGGCCCCCAAGACGGCCCAGGAGGCCCCGAGGACGGCTCCAAGAGGGAGCCCATACGGGGGACCCGAACGAACATATCCAGCCCTCCGCCAGAAGGGCGCCCAGGAAGCCCCAACGAGGCTCCCAAGAGACCCCAAGAGCCTCCCAAGAGGCCGCCAAACTACCCCCGAGAGGCTCCCGAGAGCGCTCGTCGTCGTCGTCGTTCAGGGTCGGCGGCACCGGCCGCAAGGCCTCTCCAACAACAGTTCGTCGCAAATGCACAAAGATATTTGAGCCAAGAGCCAAAATGGCTACGACATGTTCAATACAATATTAAAGCAAGCGACGATTGCAATACGCCCCAGCACCCGGGAAGGACCTCTTGGGGGCCGCCTTGGAGTGGCATTCCTAAGGAGCTGTCGCCGTGTATTTCTATCCCCGATGCTGGAGCCAACCAAACAACCGGCCGCCCCAGTTTTCAATGCGCACAGCCACAATCGTGCAAAATACATGGGGAAATCCATATCCAGAGCAGAAGCCCTCCGACACGAAAAAGTAGATTATCAGGAAAAAGCTACTTTTTGAGAATTTTCGCGCATCTCGTTATGTCGCATGAAACGCAAGGAATCCTTGAGATTAATGCCAGCCGCTCTTGAAAACTCGGCGTCCTCTTGGGGGTTTTCTTGGGTTGCTGCGGGCCCCCCGGCTTCCTCCTCGTTCTCATTGTTCTCTCCTCCTCCTCCTCTTCTCCGCCTCCTCCCCCTCCTCCTCCTCATCCTCCTCATCATCATTCTCATCATCATCATCATCATCATCATCATCATCATCATCATCATCATGATCATCATCATCATCATCATCATTCTCATCATCATCACCATCATCATCAGCATCATCATCATCCCCCTCCTCCTCCTCCTCCTCCACATCGTTCTCCTTCTCCTCCTCTTCCTCCTCCTCCTCTTCCTCCTCCCACTCCTCTTCCTCCTCTTCCTCTCGGAGGAGGGCACCGTGAGACAACCCTCCTTATACCCGCCTGGAACCCTCGAATGGGGTGGATAATCTGCGATCCTTCGCGCGGGCGACGACGAAGACGGGGTTCGAGAGATCAAGGGGGGAAGATTGCATTTCCCGCCGCGCTGTCGGGCCAGCTGCCCAGATCTGCGCGGCGAAAGCAGGAGCGGCAGAGCCGGGCGAAAGACGCGGGGGCGAGGGCTGACCCTGAGGGTGCAATGCCCAAGCCTGCGCCGCGCGGAGAGGAGGTGATGCGAACGGAAAAATCGGCTGACCCTGGGGGTGCAATGCCGAGCAGGATGAGAGCGAGAAGCGCGGCCCGGGGCGCATCCGGCTCCCAGTGCACTCCAGCTCCCGCCAAGCAGAGCAGGGACAGACGAGGCCTGACCCTGGCGGTGCAATGCCGCGCAGCACAGAGCCGACCCTGAAAGCGCAACGCCTGGCGCGGTAGAAGGAAGACAAGGGCTGACCCTGAGGGTGCAATGCCCAGCGGAAAGAACGAGGCGGAACGAGAAAACCGGCCGACCCCGGGGGCGCAATGCCGCGGTCAGCGGTGGACTCTGTAGGCACACCAGTCGGAGATCTCCCTCATCCGGTCGAGCTCGCTCCCGGCCCTGTCCGCGGCGCCCATCTGCGCCGAGCCAACGTGGCCGAGGAGGTCCTGCACCTCGCTGGCTTCAAGGGCGAAGACCGCCGAGTGCAAGGAGTCGCAAAGCCAGGCGGCGTCGCCGTCTCGAACGGCCTCTGGAGGTCGAACGAGCGCGATCCAATGTCGAGGGCATGGCTGGTGCAGGATGACACCCAAGGCGTGGTTGCCGTTGAAGACAGCCAGACAGCTGTCGGAGTCCCCCACGGCGAGGATGGCGTCCTGGTGGTCCGCGCCCTGCAACAAATCGAAATGGCACCCGCGCTCTGCGAGGTTCTGACGCAACCCCCCGTCGTCGAAATCCCCCTCGGGGTAGAGTCCGTCTCCCGCGCCCTGCCGGAACTCCTCGGCCGACAGCTGCGGCATGCCCGCGTGGCCCAGGCAATGGTTCACCGCGAAGAAACCGCACGTGAGGCCCAGCTGGGTGCCGGACGCGGGATCGACCTCGCCCATGAGAGGATTGTTGAACCACGCGGGCGCGCTCCTTCGTCGGCCGATGGCGCGGCCGAGCAAGGAACAATGCCAGCCGCCGGCGCTGGCCGAGGGCGCCGACGGCAGACTCGACTGCGTCGAAGAGGCTGGCGCCGCGCCAGGAACCGCGCAGGCCCGCTCGCCCTCGTCCCCGGCGCCCTCGCCGCGCGACCGCTTCCGCCGCAGCGGAGCGCCCCCGGGCTCGTCGGGCGGCGCGGTCGGCCGGTCCGTCTTCGAGCGCAGGTCCTCGCGCGGCCTCTTGCCCCAGAGTCTCCTCCGCGGGGCCGCGTCGGGCCTCGCCTCGGCCGAGGCGCTTGCGACGGGCCGGGCGCAGGCGGCGCCCGCCCTGATCCAGTCCTCGGCGATATACAAGAATCTGCCCTGGCGGTCGGGGTCCAGCGGGCACTCCGGCACGTCCTCCCAGGCCGGCGCCCCCAGCTCCTTCTGCGCGCGCAGCATCCTGCGCGAAGTCCTCCTGCTGAGCGTCGCAGCCGCGCCCAAGAACTCGACGAGGTAGTCCGGCGGCCCTTGCTCGAGGATCGACCAGTCCAGATCGCCGGTGCTCTCGTCGAGCGGGAAGTTCTGCAGCAGCATCCACTCCAGCTTCCTGGCTCTTCCAAGGATCATCCAGACGTGCTGGAAGTACTCCCCCCGGCGATCCTCGCCCTGCATCGTGCCAGGCCGAAAGAGGTCGACGACGAAACCTTGGGGCTGGCCCTCGGGCCCGCGGATAGTGCGGCCCTGGATGCTCTGGAAAGTGAGCTGGTCCTCGGGCGCCCAACTGAGCTGCGTGCGCGCGACCTGCAGCCCCTTCTTCTGCTTGCTCTTGACGACGAACTGCTTGGCCCGAGGCGCGCCCGGGTGATTCACCGTCTGCACGCGCGCGACGGGCAACTCCCACTCGTCCTGCACAGGCTCCAGATGGAACACGCCCCGCTTGCCCAGGCCAGTGTAGTCCACCTGGTCGAGATCTGCAAACGCCCGCGGCGCGTCGCACTGCCGACGCGAACTGATATGGATCGCAAGGTCGCGCTGCCTGAACACGCGAGCAGCTCGAGCTCAAGATCCGATTCAGTTCTGGATTCCAAAGAGGGGCCTCGGTCCCGCGAGAGGGCCCAGCCCCCTTCCCTCGCCCCCCGCAGTCGCGGCCCCCCTGAAGTTCGGCGCGGTCGTTTGCAGAGCTCGCCAAGGGGCCCACCGTGCTTCCGTCCCAGCGAATCTCGAGATGCACGGGGAGATAATCGCAAACAACGAATCCTCGCTGCCAGCAAGGGTGATTCGGCGAGGGCCGTTCAGAACCGCCGCCGAGATTCTCCCCGAAGCCGAATCGCTCCCGCGGGTGAAAGCGGATGCCCACGACCTCGCCCGTGGCCTCCTGCACCAGCTCCGGCCCCATGACCTTCTTCGTGAGCCGCCCTCGCATGCCCAAGTAGGCCGCGCACATGCCCGGCAGGCCGTTGCTCTTGGAGAGGTTCATGAACTTCAGCGCCTCGAGGTACATGTCTCGGTCCTGGTGGTGCTTGAAGCGGTCCACGGCCTGGAAATAATGGACGAGCTGCCCGCGCGCCCCCGAATGCGCCGCGCTGAAGCCGTGGCGACGAAGATCCGGCCGGCCGTCCTCCCCGTTGAGCAAGGCCCTGGGGCCAGGGCAGACCCTCGCGGAGGCGAGCACGTGGAGCTGCTGCAGGCGCGCGACCTGCTCCCACTGGATCGCCGCGCGAGCGCCGAGGGCGAAGAAGCCCCGAACGCCCTCCAGTTCGTAGTCCATGGACATCCTCGGGTCGTCGGGGCCCCGCTGGACGCGATCTCTGATCTTCGCGCGCAAGTCGTCAGGCACTCTCGCCCCGCCCGGAGTGCGCATGACCTCGAAGAGCAGCGGTAGGTCCTCGTCGAGAAAGCGGTGCGTGCCAGTGAAGACGACCACGTCGGAGGCCATCTTCCTGAAGACCTTCCAGCCGTCTTCGTCCTCGTCCGTGATCTTCCGCGGCACGCCGGGGACGCGCGCGCGGGCCAGCAGGGCTTCCAGCAGCGTGTGGATGCAGACCGGGTTGATCTGCATGAAGTCGCCCATGATGGCCTGCACGGGGACCTGGCCGAAGGGCTCTTCGATGGCCCTCGCCACGCACAGCCGCAGCAAGTCCTTGCGGCCGAAAGTCGCGCGGCGACTCAGGCCCGCAAGGAGCGGGGGGGACGCCAGGCCGATCTCGTCGGCGAGGAGGAGCACAAGGTACTCCCACTCGGCCTCCAACTTCTTCTTCGCCCTGGTGTTGGGTTTCATTTTACTCGCCGCGAGAGACTGCTTCCGCGTCAGCTTCGCCGCCGCGTGCATGGTCTTGCCGCCGAGGATGCGGGCGGCGCTGTTGGCCGCGGCCACGAGCTTCAGCCCCCTGTGCCCGAAGACACGCACGACCACCTTGTTGACCACCTCGGTCATGCAATACGTCTTCCCCGAGCCCCCCGGGCCGTGCAGGAAGACGCGGCGGACCTGCACGTCTCTCGAGGCCGCTGCGAGGCCCGCGGCCGTGGACAAGCTGTCCAAGCCGTCCGTCTCAAGGGCCTTCTGCCACAGTTGTTGTATCGGTTGAAGGAGGAAGAGCGTCACCAGGTACTGCTCCTTGCTCTTCCAGACCCCAGACTCGGCGATGAGGGTCAGCGCCGCCTGCAGCGGGGAGATCGGCACATCCTCCGGGCCGAGGCGCCTCGACGGCGCGGGCGCGTCGGAGAAGGCCGCCGCGGCGACGGGCAGATCCGCGCCCGCGGCCTCCAGATTGTCGTCCTGGGCGGCCCTCTGTTCGCGGATCGCGTCCTGGTTCTTTTTGGCGGTCTGCACGTCAGCAGGAGTCATCGCCGCCAGCCGAGGGGCGCGCTCGGGCACGGCGCAGGGCTGCCGAACGCAGGCGTAAGCGCGGCGTTGCAACTGCAAGAACGTTTCCATCAAGGCTTTCTTGTGCGCTCCCACGCGACTGCTCTTAGCCGCCTGGGCCGCCGCCGTCCGGTGCACGACGTCGTCGAACTCGTCCTCTGCCAGCCTCCAGCGAGGTCTCATGCCCTCCTTGTCCTCTCGCGCGTCTGCCACTTCCTGGCGCTCCTCCGCGGAGGAATCTTCACCTGGCAGAGCCTCGTCCAGGCCGAAGACCCCGTCATCGTCGGAGCGATCTCCGCCGAGCTCCTCCTCCGCCACCGCGTCGCTGGGCCCCCTTGCCGGCTTCGGCAGCCCGCGGGCCTCGGCCATGTACTCCAGGCGGGCGGCCACCTCCACGTGCCGAACAGCGAAGAACATCTCGGGGGTCAGCTGGTCGTCGTGAACTCCAGGACAGGCGCAGGCGATCGACTCGCCCTCGAGGGCCGCCCGCTCGTCGAGCCGAGCGCGCTCCTCCTCCGAGCCGGCGACCCCCAGGCGCCGCCCGTCGTCGCCGCGGACGTCGCCCGCGAAGCGCAGCACGGCCCAGGCGAGGTCCACCGGGAGGGCCATGCGCCAGCACACCGCTCCGCGCGACGGCCGCTGCAGATCGGCGCCTGCGACGGGGGTCGGGATCTCGCGGCGGCGGCACCACGTGCCGTCCAAACCAGGATCCGTCGCATGGCGGCCGCCGCAGAGCAACGGCAGGAAACTCTCGTGGACCGGGCCCCCGCGCACGGTGCCGGGGAGATGCCAGTAACGGATGGCGGTTGTGTCGTGCAGCACGGGGCATTGCCGCGAGCGCTGCAGGGCCTGGTCGGCCCGCTTCGCCAGGACGAGCTGCTCGGCGCGATACGCGCGCCAAGGTCCCAGGAAGGAGAGAGGGGCGCGACCCCTGGCCCGCCCCCCCTCCCTGCTGCGGGACGCGCAGCAGAAGTGCTGGGCGAAGTGCACCTGGCGACAGCTGTCCGGCCCCGGGCACGCATGCGGCCTCAACAACACCTGCTTGAAACAGGCGTTCGTCTCCGGGTCCTTCTCTTCGGTCGGCATCGTGAAGCCGGAGATGTACGGCGCGGCCGGCGCGGCCCGCAGCTGCTGGACGTAGTCGGCATGCTTCCCGTAGTGACCGGCGAAAGCGTACTCGTCTGGCGCCAGGGCGTTCGGGTCCCCGGGCACGACGCGCACCCACATGCCGTAGTCGTAATACGACATGGAGGCCAGGGGAGTCTTCGCCGCTCGACCCGACGCGCCGAACTCGGCGGAGCCGCGGTGCAAGTAGTCGTCGTAGTAGCTGTTGCTCTTCAGGCGGACCCCCGCGTTTCTCTGCTGCGGCTCGTCCGTGGCCTCCTCGGCCAAGAAAGGGCCGCGCTCCCCGCGCGCCGCGAAGAGATCGTCTGTGGGCGCGCCGCCCGCGGCCGCGACCTGCGTGGAGGCAGCAGAACCGAGCTCGGCGGCGACGCTGGCCGGCGGCGGCGCCGGGCGCGCAGCTGACCCTGCGGGTGCAATCGCTGCGGGGCGCCTCCGCGGCCCAGCCGGACTCTCGCCGCGTGTGCCCAGCGGCGACGCATGATTGCGCGGTGCCTCTGGGATGTCTGAAGCCTCGTCGGCGGCGTCGCCGTCGGCGCTCTCGTCGCGCTCCTCAAGCTCGCTATCACAATCGTCCGGGTCAGTGGCCTGGCTGTCCACTTCCGCGGCGTCGAGGAGCACCGTGGCCTCGTGCAGCTGCTCGCGCTCGTCGAACCCCTGCCGAATTCGTCGGCTCTCGAAGGCCAGCCACATGGCGTTCTTCATCATCAACTGCCAGGTGGAGTGGGAGCGCAGCACCTCGCGTCGGGTGAGCATCTGCATGACCATGAGGCAGTTCCCCTTCACGATGGCCTGGTTGGCAGCGGTGGCCTGTCGGATCAAGCGCCGCCGAGCCTCGTCCTGGACCTGAGGCAGGTCGAGCTTAAGATCCAAATCAGTTCGTTGAGGCGTCGCCCCTGGCGTTCGAAATCTGCGCGAGCTGATCTGGACGTGAACGTTGAAATGCCGAGGCGCAGAGCAACAAATAGCCACGCATCCAAGAGGAAAGAAAAGAAAGAAAGAAAAAAAAATAGAAAAGAAAAAAGGAAATAGATAAAAAAAAAAATAAAAAAAAGAAAAGAGAAAGCAAAAAAACAAAAAAAAACAAAAGGAGAAAAGGAAAAAAAAAAAAAAAAGAAAAAAAACCAAAAAAAAAAAAAAAAAAGAAAAAGAGAAAAAGAAAAAAAAAAAAAAAAATGAAAAGAGAAGTAAAAAAAAGAAGGATAAAAAAAAAAAAAATAAGAGAAAAAAGAGAAGAAAAAGAAAAAAAAAAAAAAGAAAAAAAAAAAAAAAAGAAAGAAAAAGAAAAAAGAAAAAATAAGAAAAAAAAAAAAAAAAAGAAAAAATAAAAAAAAAAAAAGAAAAAAAAAAAAAGCCCGGGGTTCCCTTCAGGAACTTGCGCGCCCGGGCAGCTCGAGCTTAAGATCCAACTCAGTTCGTGGAGAGGTTGCCCATGACGGCCGACAGCGTCGCAAACTGATTTGGATCTTCAGCTCGAACTCCCTGGGCCCGCAGATTACAATAGGGAGCCCGGCCCCGCGCCGTGTCGAGGCGCAGAGAACCGCGCGAAATCAGAACGTGCGTTCTCGACATTTGATCTTCACGTCCGCACGGGGGGCGGGCGGGCAGCGCCTTGAAACCTGCGCAGCTGGTGAGAGACAGGCTTCCGATATCAGCGCGAACTGATTCGGGTCTTAAGCTCGAGCTCCCCGCCCCCTCGATTTTCTGCGGAATTCCCACCGCCCTCCGACCTTGCTCAGCGCGGGCCCCCTCGCCGACGGCTTCGGCACCGGCGCTGCCCCCTCCGCCTCCGCCGCTGCCGCCGCCTCTTCCTCGGTGCGGAGCCGCTCCTCCAGGCGCCGAATGCCGTCGCGAACCGCGACCAGGAGCGGCGCGCAGGTCATGTTCGGCTTCGTGGAGTAGTCGCAAGCGTAGAACATGGCCTGAACGGACTGCCTCATAATGGTGACGGTCAGTGCTTTGATACTGCGCCTGAAGCGCTCGGCCGGGCCCAACCTCAGATACGCCGCCCTGCGAGCGGCTCGCTGTTGCCGGAGCCTCATCTCCGCCTCCTCATATTCCAGCTCTGGTTTGTTGGCCCTCTTGCGGGCGGCCGCAAGCTTCTCCATGTTCGCGGCGAAGCTTGCCTCGAACTTCTCGTCCTCCTCCGCCTCGAGCGAGGCCTCGTCGTCCGCCGAGAGGGGCGGGTCGCGCAGCCTGTCCCGCATCTGGACATCAAATCCGTCAACGAAAGTGCGCATCATACTCTGGAAGTCCACGTTGCAGTTCAGCGCCGTCTGGGCCACGCCGTTGGAGCTGCCTTCCATCGGGTTCCAGCGAATGGGCATGACCAGACCCAGCTTCCCACGGTCGGGATCGACGTTGACGACCGGGCCGAGTTTGCGCCCGGGGCGCAGGGGCACGGGCGCGCCGTCCTCGTCCAGGGGGAACATATCCGGCTCCGGTTCCCCTGGCCCCCGCGGCAGCACGAGGTCTTTGCCGGTCCGCGCCAAGGTCACCAGCTTCTTGGAGCGCTTCTGCTGCGCCGAGGAGTCCCCGCCGTCGCCGACGCGGAGCCAGAGCTTGACGAAGTGGCAGAAGTTGAAGCGGCAGTGCCGCGCGAAGCGCATGGACTTCTCGACAACGTACTTGAAGCACGTGTCCTTGTGCTGGTGCATCTGGCCCACGGCGATGTCCTGGCGGTAATCCTCGGCGTAGCGCGCGGCCCAGGCCGCCGCCTCCGCGCTCCGGCCCGCCGCGGTCTCCAGGTCGTCGCCCGTGGTCGGGCGCAGCAGCCTGTAGTGCTCGAGGCGACAGAGCTGGGCGCCCGTCTGGGGCACCATGTATTCGCTCATGGGTCGCGCCTCGGGCGCCAAGGACATCCGATGCCGTCGGAGGTGGTGGTCCTCGAATGGGGGCTCTGTGGCCAAGAAGACGCGCCGTTTCTCCGGCTCGTCCACGTCGTGCTCCAGCTCCCCATCCATGCGGCAATCCCGCTGCAGCTTCTCGGAGAAGGGCGTGTTCCTGGGCTCGGGCGCCCGGTCGGGGTCGTCGGTGAGGAGCAGCGGGAGCACGGCCGCTGAGTCCAGCTGCATGGACTGCACTGCGGCCAAGGTCTTCTCCTGCCACACGCGGAGCCGCTGCCGGATCTCCTCGGTCTCCCTGTTGAGCACGCACCGGAGCCACTGCTCGGACTGCGCGTGCACGAACCTCAGGAGGATGTGCGGGTGGATGGACAGCCGGGCCTGCTCCTCGATGGGCCCGTGCAGCGCCGCCAACATGAGGAAGGCTCCGCCCGTGCACGAAGTGGCGAAGCCATCGGGGAAAGCCGCCCCATCGCAACGGCCGTTGTGGCGCAGACTGCCGTCCCAGGGGCCGGTGCCCAGCACGTGCTCGCAGAAAAGCTGCATGCTAAAGATGAAGAAGCGGGCCTGGGCCACCGGGTCCTGCGCCACGATCTGGAGCATCTTCCGCGCGGAGGGCATGTCCGGGGCTTCCGCGAGGAGGTCCACGGCGCGGGTCTCGCAGCCCCCCGCCGCGTGCAGGGCAAGCAAGATGGGGCTCCGCACGTCCGCGACGTTCGGAGTCAGAAAGCCACCGGCGCCGCCGAACATGAGGGCGAAGCCGTTCTGCTCGTGGCGCAATTTCGCGCGCGCGCCGTCCGAGCCGAGAACTTCTGAGGTGAACACCATGAGCTCGGAGAGCGCGTCTTTGACGTCCTGGTCCACGGCGGGGGACCGCATCGCGTCCTTCAGGGACGCATTCGGCCCTAGGCTCTGCACGGCGGCATCGAGCTTCTCCGTGGAGGCCGCGCAGATCTTCTCCAGGCGCTCCTGGAAGCCCGTTCTGTGCACGTGGCCCCTGGCCCTGCGGATCTGCTCGATGCGGCGCCCGGCGTCGTAGTAGCAGCAGATGAGATCGCGGTCGGCCCCCCAGCGCGGCTGCTCGGGCGCGACGTAGCGCCGGCACGCCTCTCTGCACTGCTGGCAGACGCAGGAGCCGCCGGAGGGGCGAGACTGCCCGGTCGCGCCGGGCCCGTCCGCGGCGGTCTCGACCCACGCCTTGCAAGCGGCGGCCGCGGCCAAATCTTCGGGCGTGACCTGGTACACCAGCTCCTCGCGGAGCAAGTGCATTGACGTGCACTGATGGAACGACATGGGCGCAGTCCTGGACAAGCCGAACACGCCGTCGCCGTACGGGAACTTGTCGGGGAAGCACATGGACCAGAGCTCGGGGCTGTACATCGAGAGCGGCTGTGCAGCAGTGCCCTGGGCATACCCTTCCATCGCGCCTCCGGGAGCCGCCGCCCGTTGGCCCGTCTCCTCCAGGGCCGTCACCGTCTTGTGGTGGTGGTGGATCCTGTCCGCCAAGCCGCGATCCAGCATGCCTCTGGCGCTGACCTGAAGCTGCTTGATGAGGCGCCGGCGCGGGTAGCCCATGCCGGAGGCCTCCTCGCGCATGGAATCCTGCAGAGCCTCGAGCTCACCGTGCACCTTGCGGATCGCCTGGAGCTCGTCGAGGTCGCCGCCGGTCGCGGCATCGGCGCAGAAAGACATCGCCGGGAGCGCCTCGGCGGGGAAGTCCGGGTCGGGCAGCGCGGCGTTGAGATCGTTCTCCCCCTCCTCTTCCTCTGCCTCGTGCTCGGACGCGCACTCCTCCCCGTCCACCCTGACGACTTGCTCGTCGGCCCCGGCGCAGGCGTCGGCGGGGCCCTCCAGCCGGTGCTTCAGCTGCTCGGAGACCTCAATGGGGATTGCAATGCTTCGCACGGCCTCGGGGACGGCGCCGGCGTCGCTCATGACGGCGTCTGCCCTGTCCTGGTTGCAGGTCATGTCGTTGTACGAGACCGAATGGGAGGTCAGGAAGCTGGCGGCCCCCATGTATTCGCCCTTGCGCACGTTGGCCCACCGGGCCTTGCTGAGGTCGTCCACGTCGGCCCCTGCCAGGGCAATGACGACGGACTCAGCGAGGAATCGCTGCGCCTCGGGAGGGGGGGCGGGCAGCTCGGCGCTGCGCAGGAGATCCACCTTGCGAGACGTCTCCAGGCGCGCCGCCTGGGCCACGCGCGCCAGCAACGGCAGAAATCGCCTTCCCCTGGAATCCAACATCTGACTGCTGGCGCGCGCCCCCAGGAGCGCGGCTTGAGACCGCCCCAAACCTTCGCCTGCGGGAAACAGATAAAGTTCCCAACGAGCCCCCCCTGCCGTTCGTCTCGAGGGCCTCTCTTCTCGGGCTCGGCGATGATCTTGTTCACGCACACGCGGCCCCTGGCTAGCGATCGCAGCTCCATGTCCCGCAACGGCTCGCCGCCAGGCCGGAGAGGAAAAGGGACTCGGCCGATCCAGTTGTCGTTCGCCAGGGCGTACATTGGCATTTTCACTGCCGGCCCGCCCTCCAAGGTCTCGCCGCAATCGAAACACACTTTCACTAGCGGGGCCCGCCCGTGCTCGTCGAGGCTAAGGCAGGGCAACCTGCGAACGTGCAGCAGCCACCGCCACTCGGGCCTGCGCGGGTGCAACACGCTGGAAGCCCACAGCTCGTGCCGCGGGATCAGCGGCCACCTCGCGGCATAGCGCTCCACGGAGAGGAGCGCGTGGACTTTCGCGGCGGCCTCGGGCCGCACCGCGAAGCGAGCCCGGCGCGGCGGGGCCGCGTCCTCGGCGGGCGGCGGCTCCGGGTGCCCCCGGGGGTGACGCGCAGGCGCGTCCGCCGGCACGCCTTCCGCGCCGTGCCCCTGGGCGCCGTCCGCCGCGGGATCGCCGGCGCCCGCTGCCAGCTCGGGGTCCACGGGCTCCACGAACAAGTCCGCGTCGAAGAGGTCCTCCAGCCAGAAAGAGCGCGCGCAGACAACGCAGCCGCTCAGAGCGCGGCAGGTGGTCGGGGCGGTCTGCTGGCTCTCGAAGTGCCCGGCCCACGCACCCCCCGGTCGGCTCTGCGTCTGGTTCTCGGCGAAGCGTCCGAGCGCGCGGCGCTGCTCGGCGCCCCGGACCTCGAAGGGGCCCTCCAGCTGTTCGTCCGCAAGGATTCTCTTTCGGACCTCTTCCTCCACTCGCCGCGGCGCCAGCAAGCCCCGCTCGGCCTCGGGCAGGTTCACGTGCTCCTCGCGCCAGTGCTCCTGCAACAACTGCTTCGTGGCGAAGTCCTGGCCGCAAAGATAGCACGGGCACGGCTGGCAGCAGACGGGCTCTCTGGGCCATTCGCACCGGCTGCCGAGAATAGCGCTGCCAGGGATATACGCCTCAGCCTGGCGCACCGTGCCCCACAACACGTTGGCCGGGACCGCCGTCTCCCACGCGGCCATGTCCCCGGGCGAGAGCTGCCGGCGCAGCAGATGGCCGCGCTCGCCCCTGACATCCTCCAGCCGTGCGCGGCGCAGGACCTTCAAAGCTTCGAGTAGAAGGCGATCGGGATCGTCGGCCCTCCTGGTCGAGGGCCTCACGTTCAGGTGGCCATGCTCCTCGTAGTAGGCCTGCAACTGCTGGCGCAGAGGGTCCGCCTGCCAGGTGGGCCGCTGCGCCTCCGGGATCCTGTCGAGCAGCTGCTGCCACCGCGCCACGTCGCCCGGCAAGAGCTGCTCGCCAGTGGAGGCGCTGGCGTACCTTCGGGCCATCGCGCTGTGCAAATAGCGGCGCGCCCAGAGGTCGTCGCCGCCGAGGTCTGCTGCCTCGGCGGGCCAGCCTCCGCGCCGCTGGAGGCACTCGCCCACCACGCGCAGGCGCAGATCCTCCGGACAAGATCTGACCAGCAGCTCATCCCGCAGCGCGTCGACACCTTGCTGCCTCTGGATATCCCTCTGCGTCGCGCGCATACCCCAGACCTTCGCCTCGTGCAACACGGCCA